TTAGTGCATGATAGATCAAAGCCATGGTAACCGCAATGGATTGACTGCTTACCTTTAAGTCGAAATGGGAATCGGATGGCTGGGCCGTCCGGTTTACATCTTGCTTCTCTGCAGATTTCAAGGCCTACTCCGCCATGGACTGCATCGACATCTACTACTATGAGCAACCAGCATAAGAAATTGATCAGAAGCATTATTCTAACAAAAAAAATGACTTGCAGCATTCCGGTCTCTTGCTAAGTTATTAATTGATTGTATACGACAGATATGGATATATAAGATTTAGCTTAATATATAACGACAGATTGAATTGATGTGTGGACTGGTTCAAATGCATTTACTAAATTATTTTTATAACGACGGATAGATGATTTGAACACTAAAAACCAACAAAAATGATAACCACTAAACCAACAAGGGTTTAGTATTTAATTTCCCTAAGCATTAATATTTAATTTTTTCTGTTTGGTGACTTTGCTTTTGGTTGACTGAGCCGCTTATCGCTTGCCTTCCAAATGGCCATAGCCAGAACCTAAGTTGTCTAATTAATCTGTGCTCTTCCATAATTTTGATAAATTCCTATTGGATTGGATATGCCGCTTACCTTCCTCCTAATATTCTCTCACTATGTCTAGAGGAAGTCTTCTATATGCTGCACACATAGCCCTTCTCCTTCTCCTTGTTCCTTGTTCCTTCTGTTTCCAAACATCCACCCTTTGTGGCAATATCAACATAACGTATCCATTTCAATTAAAGGGAAGCCTTCAAAATTGTGGCTACAACAAATTTGAGCTATATTGTGGTTGGGAAAATGTTACAGTAATGTGCTTGTATTCGGGAAGGTATTACGTAAAGGCGATCAATTACAGTGACTGGACAATCCGAGTTGTGGATGCTGGTGTTCAGAAGAAAGACAACTACTTCTCCAACCCACATTACTCTTTAACCTCCTACAACCTTAGTGATCGTGGAGATCCTTTTTCATCTGTTTTTTATAATAGCGACAAAGATATTCAAGAACTCCGACTGTATAGTCTAGCGATACGTGAAGTGCCTATAATTTTTATCAGCTGTGCAAATCCAATGCATTCTCCTCGCCTTATTGATACAGCTCCATGCATCAACAATTCTGCCAATTCTTCTTTGTCCAGTACTTTAGGAATGTTTTCTTATGTCATGATTGGCAACATAAGTTCATTCGATTTGGGGGAGTCCTGCAGAATAACACAAATGGTTGTGGTGTCACCTTCAACATCTACAGATCTGCACCGGAACTTGTCCTGTGAAGGTATATATAATGAAATAGCGAGCGGCTTTGAGCTCTCATGGTTTAACGGTGCATGTGACTTATGTAGAATGGGTAAGGAGAACTGCACGCTCGACAACGTGAGTAAAACCAAGTGCCCTCCAATAACCAACAAAGGTACTATAGTGCATCTGTTAATGATTTCACTTATTCAATAACGCTAGCTAGAGTCAACATAGTTGTTCTCGATCCTCCAGATGATGTCAGTAATATGCAGCGCTGTTAAATATCTTCTTCACCTCCCACCAAGCCTTATTTATTCATTTGACTACTGTTTTTTCATTTTTTGTTATTTTATAGAAAAGAGCGATAGTATTATTGCTTCATAGAGGGAATAAGTAACAGTGCCACAAAAATCGGACAATGTCGTTGGGAATTAGGCAAGTTTATCTACACATACAGGCTCGATCATCGAGTCATCCAACTAACTTAGTAGTCTTACCCACTCAACCGCAAAGCGGGGGTAGGAACCTAGCCACCGATAGAGTACCCCATGTCCCCCTAAGATCATGCCCGTAGAAAAATTACATGTTACATTCCTCAACTAAGAGATCACTAATAAAGTCTGGAGGTTCCTCGAACCAAGTAATGGTAGAACCCACCCATTTAACTTTAATTCTTCATATTTGGTAAATTTCCTTAGTCGTCAAATTTCTCGCTTGATTGTACTTTTGACTTGTATAGGTTACCATTCTTAGTTTCATTGTCTTGTATAGGTTACCATTTTAAATAGACACAGAATTATTTCACATTAACATGGTATTAGAGCATGTCTCTATCCTTGGTTAATCCCGTGAGAAAGATAAGAATGTGATGGATGTGAAACTTTACACATTGACAAGATTTTGTTGTCAAATAACATTTCACGCTGTTTTCATGTGTAGAGATTGATATATTACAGTCATCTACTATAGATATATTATGTTAGAGTTAGAGATACTGATCAAAGAAATAGGAAGAGAGTTTTTATCAACTACGGGAGGCTATGACATATTGATTTCTAATAATGTATTATGATCTTTTTGTATGCAAAATATGAATCTTATTTTCTTTTGCAATGCAGGAAAAATAAGGGAGATACTGTTGGACATATACTACTATACAGCAGGCAAAGTAGCTGACTCTCTAATCCAACATACATATAATTCAAAGTAGCATTAATTTCATCAAAGTATACTTAATTGAATTATGAATTTATGATCGAGTTTTTCACTTGTGTTTCAGAATGGGTATTCCAGGTGTATGTCTTTGCGCTCACCCACAAGTGCAACAGGACTGTCCCCCTTTATCTGCTTCCATTAACCTGTGTAATCTCTTACCTAGGTAATGTGAACTACTTGAAATCAGTTACTGTGTAGCAATTTGCAGTTTTAGCTGAAGAGATAGAGAGACAAAATGAGAAAGAAAGGAGGAGAGGGAGAAAATGGAATGAAATGTTGCACAAAAAGAAAACTGATTAAAAGCAACAACTAAAAACTAAACACGAGAAGGCTACCAGACGCCCGGGCCCTTCACTAATGAAAAATGTTGTACTAAGGAAAATGCGATAGTATTGTAGCAATCAATTAATGTCTCTATTGAGTCCACTTTTTGTGAACTGCGCAGGAATATTGCACACAGTCTTATATGTGTTTGGCTTTCCCTGTGCAACTGCATTAATAATATACAAATGGAGAAGGAGGCATTTGTCAGTGCATCACAATATAGAAGACTTTTTGCAGAACAATGAGCTCGTGCCAGTAAGGTACTCTTACTCAAACATAAAAAAGATGGCCAAAGGTTTCAAGGAAAAATTGGGTGAAGGAGGCTATGGCTCGGTGTACAAGGCAAAGCTTCGTAGCGGTCGCCTGGTAGCCATCAAGATGTTGGGTAAGTCCAAAGCTAATGGGCAAGACTTCATCAATGAAGTTGCTACCATTGGAAGGATTCACCATGTCAACGTGGTGCGACTCATTGGCTTCTGTGTTGAGGGTTCAAAGCGTGCTCTCGTATACGACTTCATGCCTAATGGATCTCTCGATAAATACTTATTTTCTCAACAAGGAGTTATCTCTTTGAATTGTGAGAAAATGTTTGAAATTGCTGTTGGAGTGGCTCGTGGTATTGAATATTTGCACAGAGGATGTGACATGCAAATTCTGCACTTTGACATCAAACCTCATAACATTCTTCTTGACGAGAATTTTCTTCCCAAGGTGTCTGATTTTGGATTAGCAAGGCTATGCCCGCTTGATAATAGCATTGTATCTTTGACGGCAGCAAGAGGAACTATTGGATACATAGCACCAGAGTTATTCTATAAAAACATTGGAGGTATTTCATACAAAGCTGATGTCTATAGTTTCGGAATGCTGTTGATGGAAATGGCTGGCAGAAGAAAGAATTTAAATGCAACCATAGAGAAGTCAAGCCAAATATACTTTCCAACATGGGTTTTTGACCAATTGAGTGATGGAAAGGACATAAAAGTTGAAGACGCCACAGAGGAGGAAGAGAAGATCATAAAGAAGATGATCATTGTGGCATTGTGGTGCATACAAATGAAGCCTAGTGACCGTCCGTCTATGAATAAAGCAGTCGAGATGCTTGAAGGAGAAATTGAGTGCCTTGAAATGCCTCCAAAGCCTTTTTTGTATCCACAACAAATGCCAGAAGTGGCTCCTGGGGACAATTCAAGTACCACAAGTGCATCAACAGTAACAAATTCTACAGAAATCGTTTTGATTGCTGATGCGAATCAAACAATGTAATATATAGCAATCTTGATGTGCAAGAGAGATTACGTACTGAATAAGCACAATTAGACTTCTGTTTGCTGCCTTTGTTTACTACATTTGGAAGGAAATAAATTGTAGGATTTTCAGAAACGCTTCTTGCCCCCTTGCTGTAACACTCAAATTGTAGGATTTTCAGTAATTGCAGAATTCTATTGGGTAGGCTGTGCTCCATAGAGTGTTTAAAACCTCACCTGCTAACTCCTATCTTGTTGCAGATTGGAAGATCCCGATGAGCTAATTGCTGTTAGGGTTTGTTGTATTGTTAGCTTGGGATTGTCTTCTATTGGTAGGATTTGCCCTCCTTTTTGTTAATACATTCATTTAATTACAAAAAGAATAAATAAAAAAACAAGTCCATTTATCCTATCAAGTGCTTTCACAATTCTACACTCAAAGGAAACACTCTGAAGCTAGAATTACATTTAGATATGTGCAAGTAGCAGTTTCCCCAAGATATTGCAAATGGGGCAGCAGGTCAAAACCACTAACCCTCAAGGCTCAAGCTAAGCTGATTCACAATGGAATTCATACAAATATTGTCTTACCCCCTACACCACTAAAGTTTGTCCACCTTCCCATCATGCTAATTTGAACTACAATAGTTTATGTATAACCTAAAATGAAGAAGTTACAAGCTCAAATCAAATTGTATTCATGCCTTCAAACACATTCATGAGAAACATGATATAGCTCCCCTTTGCTGAAGGTCTGTCAGCTTAAGGATCTTCAGGTTCTTCATCTTTATCTTCTGCATCCACCCACCACGAAACAGGGCCCAAACCATCAAAATCAATTGAACCCTGCAAAATAGGAAACTTAATTGGAGGCTCATAGAATTCATTGGAAATCTACTTGCCAAAAGAGATCCCTCATTTAATTTGAACAAAGATGTAACAAAAGAATTAGTGTTACCCTACATAAAGGAATTAGCACAGATTTTAAAGGGAACAGAAGTTTCACAAAGCAGCATTTTGCAATAATTCATTGCCTTAGGAGAATTGCAGAGAACTAGAGATCAGGTGATGCTACAGCTAGATGCAACCACCAGTCGTATGATAAGATTCAAAGCATAAACTTACTGTAACCACCATAGGGGCAAATGGTTTTGAGTCTTCTGGCTGCTCAATTGGAATTGGAGGAAAGTTCACACTGTGAACTTGGAATTTTATCTGCCATTTGGAACTAAAAGTTAGCATACACTAGGGCACCAGAAATTTGAGTACGTATGGATAAATCAAACCACAACAATATGAACCTGGTCTATCCCATCAATAACAAGTTCTTCATCTGAATCAGGAAACTTCCATATCCACATGACTCTATCCCTGTAATCCTCAGCAAATATTATAAACTACAAATTAAAGGGTGCTTAAAAATATATCAATATACAAGAATTCATGCAGGATTATAAATTTAACACTCTATTTGTACTTATATCAACCAGACATGGAAGGGATGGTCACCTCTTTCCTGGGTCAGGCACAGAATGGGATGGAACAGGCAAAAGATGAACAGGTACATAAATATCATCAAAAAATTCGAGGGACACTGCCATTTAAAGATTCAAAATCAGACTATGGGTAAGACATAGACATGCTTCCTTATCAAAGAGGAGTCCATCAATGCATAGAGTGAGAATTGCTTGCACCAAAGAGAAACTAAGAAGGAAAAACTAACTGAGACGTAGAATTAAGCTACACTCAGTTCATCCCAGTAGAATACATACAACGTAAACCATTTGCAGTAGATTCTTTAAGTTTTGCAACAATTATCTCTCCCACAAATGGACGAAACATAATCAGTGTGAACTCCACCTGCCAAGTGTTGAAAAAGGGGGGAAATAAAACAAGAAACTTTAGAAAGGAAGAAGAAGAACATTGCATAGTGCATACTCAAATGAAAGGAGTATTCTGACATTAATTTCTCTGGTAATCATCTCTGAATCAGACATTAATTTAAGCTGAATATCTGAATTTAGTCTAAATGCCTAAGAGTCAACCATTAAGTGTAAACAACAAATAATCAGCCTATAACAGTGATACTCACTCTCAAGGTAATTAGCAACTTCAATTTCATAGAGAAGACAGGCCTTAGTTGTCAGTTTTGTCACCCACAAGGAATGAAGTAAATCAAGCTGAGAACCGAGAAGAAATCCAAGCAAAAAGATATAAAGGAACCTATGTCATAGTAATGGGAAAAAGAGAAGAAGCTGTCCATTTCTTTCTTTGTTCCTTATTTCTAGGGTAAGGGTAGCAGTGGGGTTAGATCTCAAGAGCTTGTTGCTCTGATTCCATGTTTCAGAAAAACCAAACAAACAAAATTAGGATATAGAGAAGAGGATCATTGTATATTACATATTGTCATATCAAATGAAGGTAGAGTATATTAATTTATGTAGGATCCAGGGAATGAATTCTCCGCTAATCAGCAGCTCCAATTTAAGCTAACAATCAGCCATTAAATAGTCAATTTAACAAGTAATGAATGGCTAGCTAGCAGGCAGGCACTGACTTACAAGTAATGAATTTAGGTGATGAATTCTAATTACACATAAAAGATATCAATCTTCTGCAGCCGGTGCACAAAGAACAATGATATGCTTCCTTGTTTCAAAATCATTTTAGGTTGAAAACTCTTCGACTCAAACAACCAAACAAAACTCATTTGTGTTTTCATACAACAAAATATTACATAACTCAAAGTCAGTCAAAAAATCAAAATCCAGTAGTTCAAAGCATTCCTTACAGAGAAGTATTTTATCAAACATGACAAATTTGATTAAAACCCATCAAATCCTGATAAGAGATAGAGTAAAAAATGCCAACCTTTCAATCAAGACCTGTACAAAACCACTAGACCACAATGGAAGACTAATCATCAAAATAGATGCAATCACCAAATTTAAGAATTATAAGTTAGAGCATCCACAAAGGACTCCCCAAACCACCTCCTTAGACAAATTTTAGGGAGCAATTGGAAAAATACAACTCCAACCATGCTCCCTATCCACGTCCTAAAATAGAGAGATCTCTAGGAGCTCCTAAATCTGAGAAGAGAGAAAGGACTCCTAGTGGCTCCTTATAATTTAATGCTTAATCAATTTAATAGTATTTTAACCATTTATTTAATGCCAACTATTTTTTGTTGTTGCTTTTGTGTCCATACTTTAATCAAAAATTGAATTAAAAATTATTAAAAGCATTTATGAATCTTTAAATTAGGGAGTACGGTTGGAGTTGAAATTTTTTATAGAGCTCATAAAATAGCTTTATAGTGTTTTAAGCTAAATTTTAACTAAAAAATAGAGAGCATGATTGTGGATGCGCTTACAGACTGACGCTTAATGCCAATGCATTGAAAACTAAACAAGTATGCTCTAAAAGCCGTTCCATTCTCCCTCAAAACTTTTTGAGTGAAACATGTTACAAATGCAAATCCACAACTTTATTATAATCCAAAGCAGCTCCAATAAAATTTATTCCACTACATACCTAAAAGAACGATTATAGTTATTACAAAACTAAACCAATCATTAACCCCTAATGCGACCCAATACCCTCTCTGAAACCATTAAATCTTTACCATCCATCAGCTAAAACACCAAAGTTTCCCAATTTTCTTCTGTAACCAAAGACAAAAAACCAACAAAAACAATCCACAAACAAGCGAAATTACCTGACCAAAACAAGCCTACTTAAGCACACCATTATCACCAATCAACAAACAAAATTTGGATACAGAGAAGATCAGTGTCTATTACATATTAAGCTAAAGGCCTAATAATCTATATCAACGATACTAAGTATTTAGATTGGCGGTTCTTGTGCACCGAGCAGTTTAACCGGAAATAAATTGAGGTATCTTACAATTTAAAATTGGAAAGAATATGAATAAGAATAAGAAAATGGATTGAAGCAAGCAAGCTGACTCCACTTATACGAACTAAAAGAACCTAAATTTGAACAAAACAGAATTTACCAAAAGCACTTTATAGTCATAAAATTGAGAAGAGTAAGGTAAACAAATATATACCCTAAAAGTGGGATGACCATCATTAGGTAAGATAAAGCCATCCTTAATGGATTGGATACTATGCACAGAAATGCAAAGTCCCAAGTTGGCGATAACCTACAAGGAACAACATCACAGTGAATCAAAGTAAAAACATTGTGAATAAGAAACAAAGGGCAAAATTCAAAATATGTATCAGCTCACAAACCTTATCTAAGAAAAGCTTCTCAAGCTCTCCCCTAACTGCATCTTCTAGACGAAGGCTAAGCAGATGAGGAGGCAGACGCAGAGTGTGCTCAATTCGGCTGAGGTAGAACATTTGGGTTGTCTTCTAAATTATATTCCAAAATCAAGTATGCACAGATTAAAGTCACAGATTTTGGGGAAAGAATGCAATGTTAAATATCAACAAATTCAAGCATAATTGAAAAAAATTACCAGCCTCAGTTTCCGACAATAGCAAGTAGCGTCCTAATATGAACCAGTGTTTTTGCTTCGGCCCGAGGCGGTCGGCTGCTTCAATACTTGGTAGAATCCTGCTACAACACATGCATTACATTAACCAAACAATAATTTACAAATGGAAATAAAAGACATACTTTGGCTCCTTTTCAGTAAAACGGGAAAGAAAAAAAAAGGAAAGAGAACCCAATAAAAGACATGCTTGAGATTATACATAATTGAAATAGAACTCAATAAAAGATTTTAACTGAAAAACCATTCCTACACAACCAGTTCCAACACTTACCTGAAAAACCATTCAAAAATATAAGCACACTCACCAATTCAATTGCACAAAAGTAAAAAAAAAAAAAAAAAAAAAAAAAAAAAAAAAAAAAAAACTGAGAAACAGACCTCAATTGAATGAAGTGGAAGGAGATGGGGAAATGGGTGCTTGTTAGATCTGATTCATTCAATTTTAAAAGGCTAGCTTAATAAGACATCACAGGAAGCACCAAATAAGTGGTACTACACTTAGACACCAATACTAAGGGAAAGAAAAATAATTGCTAAACCGACACGTTAATCCATGGGACGATGACCCTGCAGCTAGCTTATATATAAAATATACAGACAACTCTGCAGCTAGCTTATATCTAAACTATAAAGAGAACTCAATAAGCAACATTGGCAAAAAAATCAATAATAATAACCCAAAAAAAAAAACATAAGCTCACAGACAAAAGCAAAGGAACCTTGAAATGAATACACACCCACATGACCAACTTCCAACTTCTAACTTTTTACTTCAATTATACAAATCCAACACCACAATGCAATTTCAACACCACCCTTTTTGGGTCTGTTAATCAAAATAGATCCTTGATAATTGCATCGAAGCATCACCATCTCAAATTACCTAAAACAAAGAAAACCATCTAGAAAAGTAAATTCTTCTATTTGATTAACTCAAAGAAAACCATCTAGAAACAAAACAAGCCTTAGGCCTTTTTGGAGGTAAGTCCTGAACCCCAAATGATTAGATAAAAGCAAATTAACTAGTAGTTCTAAAGCCACAATCTAACTAGGCAAATCCTAAACACCAAATGATTAGATGAAAGCAAACTGGTAGCTCTAACACCACAATCTCAGTATATATTCATTTCCTCTCTCTCACCTTCCCAACAAAGACAGACATGCTAACTGCGAAGGTTGTATAACTGATCAAATAATTATAACCCTCCTCACCTAAATCCCTCATCTCCCACCACTTATAAAAACCCTCTCAAACCCCCCAAAACTCATATAAAACACTTGCATAAAATATCAAACACCTTGTGCAAGCACCACTCCTGCATTGGCATTACTTGTTTTCAAGCAAATTAAGAAGCCAAAACCCACCACACTCAAAAACTTGATAATTAAGCTTCAGAATCAGCCTCTTCTCTCACTCACACTTCTACTCATTTTCCTTTCCCATTGCACCAAAATCTTAGCCCAAGCTCCTGCTGCAGGGCCAGCAGTTCCAGCACCACCAGCTGATGCCCCTGCACCTGCAGGCCCAACCAACATCACAAAAATCCTTGAAAAAGCAGGTGGCTTCAATGTCTTAATCCTCCTTTTGAAATCCAACACAGATGTTCCCCTGTACCATGCATATTCAAAAACATTCATAATCTTACATGAATTAACATAAACAAAACCAGAAATCTTGTATTGGGTCTGTCAATCTGTCAATCCCTTTTTTGTAATAATCTTACATGACTTATGCTGTATTAGAAAGAAAGTAAATTAAACATCTTGCTAGTCTTCTGAAGAGAAACTTCAGAGGCTCTTCCAAAGGAACGAATCTAACAGCAATACACTTACAAAATCACAAATCCAACACCACAATGCAATTTCAACACCTCCAATCAAATCTGAAATCAAAAATAAAAATCCAATACCACAAACAAATATAGAAATTGAAAGAGCAAAGGAAAAAGGGAGATGATACCTTGATACAGACAGCGGATGCGAGAGGGGGGCGGCGGTGGTGACTGGTGAGACCGTGAGAGGGAGACGGAGATGGTGAGAGAGACACGCAGAGGGAGACACGGTGATAGAGGGAGGCCGTTGTCGATGGTAGCACAGACGTGGAAATGCCGATTATGAAATTGAAAGTAGAGGGGACCTTAGGTTTTCAACGATGGAGGGTTTGGGTTGGAGAGAGAGGAAGAGAATTTGGGGTCAGAGAGGGCGAAAGAGAGAGAGAGGGTTTGTGGTTTGGTTAGGGGAGAGAGAGAGAGAGAGAGAGAGAGAGCAATTTCGAAGGAATAAAACCGCGAAATGAAAATTTTGTGAAAAAAAGGCGCTCACGCGAAATTAATTTTATGAATTCTTTAAGATAAAAATAATAAATAACAATTTTTTAAATTTTCATTTTTATGAATTGTTTAAGATAAAAATAATAAATAACAAGAAAAGAACACATGTCACCACGTTCTACGGCCACATGTCATAAATACTGACAGAGAGCCTTTAAAAAGCTAACACATGTCAAATAGTTTATATTTCTTATTATTTCCTTACAATTTAACTTCTAAAATTCATAATAAATAAATTGCAAATCAGAAAAATACACCAAAAATTTCTAAGAACTCCTTGTGACATTTTATTCACCTTACAACTCCCAAAATCTAATTTTGAATCATAAAAATATAAAGTAATAACAAAAACCCAATTTTATTTATAGACAAATCAAAACATTATACCACCTTATAATCTTGTTTATTTGATCCATTGATTATCATTAACTCAAATATTTGGAATCATGAATTTAGATCTCCATAATTGAATCCTATATTTTAAGGAGTATGTAGCAATTTTTGGTGTATTTTTCTGATTTTGATTTAATTTCTTATGAGTTGTTTACTTCTATAACACAATAAATTACAAGAAAATGACATAATAAATAAATAAATAATCCCAAAAATACACAGATAATTCCTATAAACTCCTTGTGATATTCTCTTCTCTTTAAAGCTCCAAAAATATAATTATAAATTATAAAAATACAAAGCAATAATAAAAACTTAACTTTCTTCATAGACAAATCAAAACATTTTATCCAATACACTATTGTTTCTTTGATTCAATGATCTCCCATATTAAAATATGTGGAATTATGATTTTAGATCTCCACAAGAGCATCTCCAGCGCCAGACCCAAACCAAGGAAAAGGCCCCCACGGCGAGCCCAAGCGCCCTCTAGCGCGAGAGAAGAAGCCAGAGCAAGAGTTGGGTCCCACCAGCTAGGGTAGGCCCAAGGGCAAGTTTCGCTTGGGCTTCAGCCCGAGGGCTGTGACGTCAGCACTGACGGTCACAGCACGGTAATATAATTTTTTTTTTACCGTTGGCGCAAGAATTTCACGCGCCAACAGTAAAAAAAAATTAATTTTCGCTCATTGACAGGCCCCAACGGGAATATGCCACGTGGCACTTCCTGGACGCTCCGATGCAATTTTTTCTAGAAATCTGACGGCCTTGATTTTTTTGGCTTAAAAAATTGCAAAAAGAATCGAAAAAAATTCAAATTTTTTTATAAAAAAAATTACCAAAAAATTCTGGATTTTTTCCCTATAAATACCTAACAATTTTATTCACTTTCCATACCAAATCTTCACACAAACTCATTTCCTTCCAATATTTTTCATTTTCCACACCAAATTTTCTACTACAAAATTTCATTTGTGCAAAAATACAAATGTCATCTTCCATCGAAGCCGGAGGGTCGTGGACAAATGTTCGAAGAGGTCAAAATCTTGGCAACGAGGTAAAAAAAAATTAAAATTTCCATTTTATTTTATATATATATTTCTTGCATTTCCAATTTCTTTTTTTTAATAGATTAGTCAAGGCAAAACAAAAAAGAAGAAAACCATTACATATGACTCCTCAAGTGAACAATACCCGCAATCAGTTCCAGTGGTGCGTTCCGTGTCAGAAATAATGGCACTATTACGTCATCCAAAGGAAAATACTCCCCCAAGTCGTGATCCAGTGGAATCGCCTCCGCCAATGATGGAGTTGTCATTGTATTCCATTGTGTCAGACTATGAGGACCAAGAATATTTCAATTGCATGATGAGTGAGTAGGTATTTAAATTGTATGATGAGTGAGATGTGAATTTTATAATAAATATGGACACGTGGTAACTGAAAATTTTATCAGAAAAATGTTATCTTAAATTTTAAGTGAAAATTTTATAATAAATAGTGACACGTGACAACCGAAAATATAATCTAAAAAGCTTATCAAAATTAATGGTTTAAAGTATAAAAAATATAGGAAATAAAGTACAATGAATAGTATTTGCCTTAGACTTGCCCTAAACTTAGCCCTCATGAGTGGAATCACAAATGGCAAGGCTGACACTATTCACATGAATAATGGCAGCCCTTGCTTGCCCTTACTCAAGACTTAGCCCTTGTGAGTGGAGATGCTCTAATGGATGACTATTTCGTAAGAGCATCTCCATCGTAAACACAAAACCGGGCAAAAGGCCCCCCGACCAAGCCTAAACAGCCTCCAGCGTGAGAGAAGAAGCCCGGGCAACTGCTGGGTCCCACTAACTCGGGCAGGCCCAAGGGCAACTTCCGCCCAGGCTTCAGCCCGAGGGCTGTGACATCAATGCTGACATCACAGCTGACAGAATCCAACGGGCATGTGCCACGTGTCACAACAGGGACGCTCCGATGGTTTTTTTTCCAGAAATCCAACGGTCCTCTTTTTTTGGCAAAAAAAATCGAGAAAAGGAGTTCGTAGCAATTTTCAATGTATTTTTGTGATTTTTATTTAATTTGTTATGCATTGTTTAAGATAAAAACAAAAAATAACAAGAGAGGGACACGTGTCATAATCTGATTGGGCCAAATTTCTGAAAGCTGACGGAGATACCTTAAGAAGCTGACATGTGTCAATCTCATCTATTTCATATTATTTCCCTATGATTTAACTTCTAAAATCCACAATAAATAAATTAAAAATCAGAAAAATACAAGATAGAATCCCATTAAGTCATTGTGACATTATTTTCACCCTAAATCTCTAAAAATCTAATTTTGAATTTAAAAAAAGTAATAACAAAATTTAAACGTTTTTATTTATTTATTTATAACAATCCTATTTTAATTTTGCCCAAAAATTGTGGTACTTTAAAAAAGTGAAAAATAATGTGGGAGACAAATTGCGAGGAAATTAATTCCTCGTTAAAAAGCTTCTATTGAGAGGATTATATATTGTTTGTCGCTATAGGTTAGGAGGGAAATGTCAAAAATTCCCGCTAACACTTTCATTGAGGAAAAAACTATTTCCTCCTTAATAAATTGTGAAAATAATGTGGGAGACATATTGCAAGGAAATTAATTCCTCACTAAAATGCTTCTATTGCGAGGATTATATATTGTTGGTAGCTATAGATTTGGAGGGAATTGTCAAAAATTCTCACAACACTTTTTGTGAGGAAAAAATTATTTCCTTGTTAATAAACAGTGAAATTTTTTGGAAGATGTACAGTGAGAAAAGTAATTCCTCTTTAAAAGGATTATATTGTGAGGATTATATAATGTTTGTTGCTATAGGTTTGGAGGGAATTGTCAAAAATTCCCACTGCACTTTCCGCGAGGAAAACACTATTTCCTCGTTAATAAATGGTGAAAATATTTTCGAGGACATACTGCGAGGAAATTAATTCCTCGTTAAAAGGCTTCTATTGCGAGGATTATATAATGTTTGTCGCTATAGGTTTGGAGGGAATTGTCAAAAATTCCCGCTACACTTTCCGCGAGGAAAACAATAGTTCGTTGCTGTGACAATCTACCGCGTCCACATTGTTTGTCGCTGCATCCAACATGTCGTCACTATAGCTTGGTCCAATTTGAAAACGAAATTCAAGTCACCTTTTGCAAGAATTTAACATTTTCCTCACTGAAAGGCTACTTCTACAAGGAAATATAATTCCTCGTTGACAAAATCGTTGCAAAAGCAACATTTTGTTGTAGTGTCACTTGGAATGTGTTGAAAAAAACACATGCAAGTTTCTGTTTTTTTTTTCCTTACCTTTATTGTAATAAACTTAAGGCAAGAAGAATTAATATCTTTCTTGCCTTTTCTAACTCCAGCCGGTTGTAGCTTTTCTTGACAAGACCCGCCACGAATCTCCTCGAAAACCGAGACGGACCCCGCCTAAATTCCGACATCACCCCGATGCCGGGCCCACTTACTAAAGACCAAGACTTTCTACCAAAAATTTGACAGAGTCTCCCCTGTAAAATGAACATTCCCAAACTTCAACATGTTCATAATTACAGTAATAAACAACCAATTGGCAGCATGCTTTACAAGCAATAAAACAATTTACAACAAAGACCTCTGGCCTCACGATTTATACCCTCAGCGGGCGATACAGAGCATATCTAAGAAATTCAAAAACAACAGAAGTACAGTTTAACTAAAAGGAAAATGTGAAGGAGTCCCTACGAAGACTCAAGTTTCGAGAGCACCCGGTCCGGCTCGACTGTGGAGCTCAGTTGCTACTGGCTGGGGGCGCAAAACATAAAATTGTGAGTGGACGAAAATTAAGTTCAGTTCAATTAAATCAAAGTAATATAACCCCACCTTTATAAAAACATGCAATGAATCCATATGCATATTAAAACCGTCATAAGCAGTATATAAACATATACTAAAAAAATAATACCGGACACCAAATCCAAAATCTGTGAATCACACTTCACAAACCCACCACTCAAAACTGAAGAGTCTCGAGAGATTAAACTCTCGAAAACGTACCCAATGGTACGACCGGCGAGGAAGTATCCTTACCGAGAAATAAGAACAACAGTATATTCATATATATATATATATATATAATAGTAATATAAAATATAATAATAATAATATATAATTATAACCAAAATTTAGTTGTATCGGGGAAGCGATCCAACCAGGGGATTGTTTGACTAGTCCACATGGCAAAGCCATTCCTCAATTCACCATGTGGCTAGGGAACGAGCCGTCCAACTGGGGGACTAACTCACAGCCCGC